TGAGCTTCTCACACTACCCATCCCCCCCGCGTCCTCACCTCTCTTCGTCCCGGAGATTCCAGGGCAGAAAGACGTTCCTGGGGAGCTCACCGGTGGGCCCTTCGATCGGGACAGCGTTGGCATGGACCAGAGCATCACGAATTACGCACCGGCCTTCCTCGATTGGAACACGCTCACTCACACGGCCGAACTATGGACACTGTCTCCGCCCCGTGCGTCCTCACCTCTGTCCGTCCCGCTAGAGCAGACAGATGTTTCTGAGGCGTCATACGGTTCAAATTTCGACGTGGGCAACATTTTGCATACAGACCGCGCTCGCATTGGAAGTAAACGCTCCTTCGACGACGCAATCGCCGCCAACGAGATTAACGCCCCGGTCAGCAAAAAATAACGCACATCTCGGTACGTTTCTGCTCACTGCAGACAGGATTCGGACTGATGATACTTGATAGATAATGTAATCAACTAGCCGATCGACGCACGCGGATACATTCGGGACGCTGCCAGGGGTTTCTCTCCCTGTACCTCGGTTTCCCTTTCAAAGCTCCCTGTCCCCCATTCCCATTCGTCCTTCCTTGGACCTGCTTCCCCGTTTCCCGTTTCCCAGTTCCTCGTTTTCCCTTTGCGGTTTCCTTTTCCCTGTTTCCCTGTTTCCCTCTTCCCTTGTTCGCTGTTCCTTGTTCCCGCCTGTGTGTTAATTGTAAATGGTTTCCCATAGAACCAGGGAAATGAATATATATATCTTATCTTCTCACGTTATATCTAATGAAATATACGAGGGTATGAAGACTCATGTGCTGCATAGAGGCTCGCAACTCGGGAATATTTAATTTTGCATTGCTGTTGTGAAGACGTGGTTGCTCTGACACAGTTCACACTTGGGGGACAGGGGAGGCGCAGTTCACGATCGGTAAATTCACATCTATCGACGACAGGAAGATGAAAGGATAAAGAAGCGAGCCAACAGAACACCCAGGCCGAGGGGCTCCAGCGAGCAAGCAAATAGGGACGCCGGCCACAAGTAAATGAGGACGCTGGCCAGAAAAGTACGTACAGAATCGCGTATCTTGGAAGAAAGACGCAGCGCCGGGCGAGAAAAAGAGATTGGGCATAGTGCGAGAAAGAGACTGCGCTGTCCAAAAGAGGGCTGTTCCAGGAATATCACAGCGGGCCAGAGAATAGTGGGCGAAATGTGAAGCGAACGAGACAGCCGTGCATAATACGGAAGGAAGGGGCGCGCGCGCAGGAGGGACAGAGGAAAACAGGAGAGCAGAAGGAGTGATCAGCAAGAAGAGCGAGAATAGAGAGGATGAAGCCTGCAATATATGCGGCACGAGGTGTATGAAGAGGAAGAGCGGCTCCCGCGCTTGTGATCCCAAGAGCGAGCGAGCGGGTCGGCCCTCAGGTAAGACAAGCTCGAGTGATACAGGGTGCGTCGCAGAATGTTAGGGGGCGTGATTTTATCTCCGAAGGAGAATGCGAATATGTGGAAGGGAGGAGGATACTCATGCCTGAACCGGAGGGCGGGACAGATGTCCATGCCGCGTCAAGGTGCGGATTGGTAGGTCCACCTGAAAAGGGGGGGAGAAGCGGGGGACAAAGAGAGAAGGGCATGATGAGCGGAGGGAAAGTAGGATCGCGAAAGAGTAGCACTGAGGATCTAAAATAACTGAGGACTCACTCGTTTTCCAGTGTTTCCGCACAACCTATTAATCTCACCCCAGCTCATGCACCCCTCCGCGTCAAGATCGTCTCCATCGCTCTCCGCTCTGCAGGTCGTGGCAGCTTGCGGGAGGATGAGTCGCAGCACATCGCGACTGGCGTGGAAGGCGTGCACGAGGCGCGCGACGGCGGGCGGCGTACGTCCAATGCGAGGGCGGAGAAGACGAAGAGGGTAGCGACGCCCGTGTGCTTGAGCGCGGCGCACACGCGCGGCCCGGGTGAGAACCCAGGACGCGGCGGGCCGCGGAGTTTGTACGCTGCGCGCGCATGAGCCCGAAGTCGTCAGATGCGGGTGGGTGAGCGGGGGTTGCCGGGGAGGGAGCGGTGAGTGCGGTGGCAAGCAGAGTGACGACATCCCATCGCTCCTCGCAAAATCCTAGTCCTTCTAGTCCTTGCCGTGCAAGTATCAACCTACACCTAGTGCTCTGCTCGCTGTCCGAGTGCGGGACGACGAGGATGGGCAGCGGGGATTCGTGTGAACGATGAAAGGAAGGAGAGTGTGACGTAATCCATCAAATTGGAACCTTGTCATTTTGATGGCCGCCGCACTTGGCAAGCTTCCTTTCAATGCTTTCATTGTATTTCCTAGCCACTACCTCCCTTTCTCCCCAGCGTTCCGTCCATCGTCCTGAGTCAGCGCGCAAGCCGTCCTTCTACTTCGGTCCTCGGATTCAACTTCAACTCATTGGCTCAGCTATTCAAGTTATGGGTACCACTCCGACTCCCCAAGTCAAACGTGCGGTTGCCACAATCAATTTTCTGATAATCCTGTACTCAGGGTCGGCAACCCAATTTGACGCAAGCTCTAAAACGCGCAGATAACCAGCAGATAGGGGCTTTCGGAAGCCCATGTCTATTCATCGGGCCCGCGTAAACGGCGTCACTGTCAACCTGCGTCACCTGATCGTGATACGTTAGCACTCGGTGTAACAGTGACACCCGGTGTTGGAAGGCGGTGAGCATCACATGCTCTTGACACCACCGGCTCATGCCGAAGTGTGGGGTAATGCATCAGAGGTGCGCTAATAATATTTTCCTGCACAGCATATGCGGCCCGCGCCGATGGATTGTATGGGACTTCCTGGCTTCGCTTTAAGTCCGTCCGTCATGTGGTTCGAATTTTGTATTTTCATTCTCCATCACTGTGTCTTGGTTCAATCTATCCTCCGTGCCCGCGTCTCCCTTCTGACATGTTTTTTTTCTCCCTGGAGCTATTCTCGACGGAAATTCTAAATCATTCCAAACATCACGCGTACGTTTCCTCACCCTCCAATTCACTGCACTTATCCAAGCTCCTTTTGGTAGGAATACGACCTGGTAGCGGGGGGCTCGCGCCTGCTTCACAGCGCTGGTCATTCAACTCTGCAGGACAGGAGCCCTGGTTCGATTCCAGGCTGGGTCATACGGCAAGTCGTTAATTTTTCCCCCCCCTTCTGCGGTGCCTCCTCGAATCCAAGATACTCTACGAATTTACAAAAGAAGACCTCGCATCTCCGCCAAACCATTTTCTTTTTCGCAGCATACATATGCGGCCCGCGCCGCGATGGAACTCCACGGAACTTCCCGTCTCCAATCTAAGGCTGTCGTGCGTTTCGTATTTCTTTTTCTATCTTCCATCCCAAATCTCACCTGCTCTCTCCCTTCCGTATGCTCTGGTGCAGCCTCCGCGATATCTGTGTCCTCGATAGTAATTATATGGTTACATCATGTCGCGGGTACGTGCGAGGTGCAGCCTCCCGTTCTAAGCACGTATTCCCGATCTCTGTAGTGCGAAGGAGACCTAGTAGCAGAGGGTCCGCACTTTCTCATAGCTTCTTATGTTGGTCGTCGAGTACAGGGCATCCCTGGTTCGACTCCAGGCTAGGTCATGTTCTCCTATTAATACTTTTTCACTCCCTTTCTGTTTCATTCCACTCCCCCGATTTTCAGATTTGACAGCAGGGAGCAAATTCGGAGCCACCTTCTTCAACGCAAGCACATTGAAACTCGGTGCTAAATAAAGCCCGCACCTGCGGCTGGACTCCATGGCCGTGTCCGTCTGCGCGTTAACACCATCGTGCGTATATGTTCCCACTTGTTTTATGCTCGATCTCATATGCCCTCACCGACTGCCCTTCCTAAGGTCAGCCTTGTCCGCATATTATAATTCTGAACTCATAGCGCTTTATCGCCCTCCAATTTCCAGCACTTACCCGAGGTCTACTTCCTAGGAATAAGACCTAGTAGCGGAGGGCCCGCACCTGTTTCTTATAAATTCTAAATCCAGTCGTACAATGCAGGAGGCCCTGGTCCGACTCCAGGCTAGGTTATGTTCTTTGGTAAACCTTTTCGTCTCTTTTCCCCTCAAAGTTCAACACCTCGCTCTCACCGTCAAAGCTCAACACATCTCTCACTCCCTCAAATCTCCACACATCGCAGGGGAGGACGCGCAAGGAATCGTTTATGATACGCAATTTCTTCATACCGCATTTACCAGCACATATTCACCGTCACTTTCCAGGGATAAGACCTGCTTAGTAGCGGAGGGTCCGCATCTGCTTCTCATATGGATTCATAGAAGCAGTACCAAGCCGGAGCCCCTGGTTCGACTCCAGGCTGGGTCATTTAGGTTTACTGTGATTTTTTCGTCGCATTCTCCAGCTAGTGCTTCTCCGAGTCCAAGATGCTCTACGAATTTACGAAATAAGGCCGTGTAGAGGATCTTACATCTCCGCGAAACCACGTTCCTTTTTAAAGCGGACACGTGCGGCCCGCGCTGTGATGGATTCCATGGGACTTCCCGTCTCCGCTGCAAGGCCGCTGTGCGTGCATCCTTGTCGACACGCTCCCTCATTCTCTGATCTGCCTCCTATCAGCACACCGGCTGTGTTAATCTCATCCGTCGTCTCGCTACCAACTCTAAATTCTAAACACCCCGCGCACGATTCCTCAGCCGCAAAACCGCACTTACTCGACATCTTTTGAGTGGGAGAAAGACCTAGTGACGAAAGAAATCGCGCCCACCACATATCAGGTTCACGAACTTTCACAAGACAGGAACTCCTGGTTCGACTCCAGCCTGGGTCATTGACGTTTATTGTGTTTTTTCCCCGCTCTCTCTTCGTTCTCGTCGAACTTCACCATACACCCACACGTACACAGGTAGAACACCAGAAGCGCAAGAAATCCCCGTTTTAAATGATGATAGATATTAACATTCAGCTCGTATGTGGGCCTGCCTGTGTGGGTTGTGAGTTTGAATTCGCACCACTTATTCGAAGTCTACATTGTAGGAATAAGGCCTAGTGGCGAAAGCATCACCCCCGCATTCGATATAGTATGCAGGGCGCCCTCTTGGTATTGCGGGAGTTCCTGGTTCGACTCCAGGCTAGGTCATCGTGAGTGGCTCTTGCCATTTTTTTTTACGTTTGCTTCTCTAGTGAGTGCCTTCTCGAATCAAGGAGATATCGTTGAATAGGAAATTTCGGAAATGAATCAGTGTCGAAATGGTTGATTCAACTTGAATTTGAACACGATGCGATTCAAGATGTATCGCTCTCGAGTGGTGTAGATGGAAAAACTCACGAAAACAACAACCTGAATCCAGATCGTACCTGAGACGAGACTCTCCGGGATTTAGCATAGGATTGTATCTCCAAGTTAGAGCAATGGAGTCCGCAACCTTGGGTCGAGTAAATACGGTTCAACCGCTTGTATTCCTAATCAGCGTGGTAACTAGACGCGCTCGAACCCTGAATGAAGTGAGTACCTCGTATTGGGGTTTTATTCGGAGTTACCTCGTTGCAAGGACCGTGAACACAATGTGTCGGTGCCACGAGTATTCATCGCGTCCTCGTGTCCTGCCTTATCACGGATTATGATTGTCCGAAGACGAAACAGGATTCCCCACTTCCTCAAGCGGGGATATAAGCGCGCGGGTTCATATATAAACATAGCGTAAATCGGGTCCAATAAACGCGCTGCATGCACATATGCATCCTCAAGGAACGCGGATAAACCGACTTGTGCGTTGTAGAATTTTTGCAGCCAAAAAAGCGTTGCAAACCTAACTCACTCACCATGTGGTACCATATGTACTCGAGTCGTCCGCAGTGACCGCGATCCAGCGGTAAATTGAGAAGATCGATACTCATACATCGTCACATGCTCTGCGTGGAATGCTATCAGCGAAAAACATCTCAATGGCAACGACTCAAATGGAACGCACCATTCCAGATGTGTCAAATCAGGCTCCAACGTTTGACGCTGCAATTCGACCCTGAAATTCGACAGTTGCTGGGCGATAATTTGATTTGAGATGAAGAAGTGCAATTCATATCGCACACCATCATGAAGATTGCGGCCATAGCATACTGCTCCTTACCGCCGAGGCGCACGCACTAGAGACGCACCTGATGTATACTCGCCGTTGTGCCGAGTCGAAAGGGTTCATACTCGGAGGATGAAGTGGACAGAATTCAAGATCGGACGAATTCAAAATTCCGATGTTATGGTATACGTGTACGATTAGAAGTTGTAAGGAGGGACCCAGGCCTGACCTGGAGGAAGGAGGAACGCAAAGGCCGGAAGCGAGGAGCAAACAAAAGGCTTCGAGCGAGGAGGGAATCAAAGGCGAAAAAGGGACGAAGCCAACCCGCAGGAAAGATGGAGCCCCATGCCGAGAAAGATTGCGTTGTCCAAAAGTCGGCCGATCCAGGAATATCGTATTGCGCGGCGAAACAGCATTGACAGTGTTCAGTGCATTGTATACCCAACCAGCCTTTGATGCTGAACCATCCCAAGAGCCACTATAATGTCCTGTTAGCAGACCAGCTGCCAATACAACATCAATCCACCCATCCGATTGAGGAAGAGAGTTGCAAAATTGATATATCATGGAATGGTAAAGACAGACCCACACTTTGTTCTCAGACTTATTTGCCAAATGGCCAGTTGTCCCTATGATCTTGGTTGCAGTACAGTTGCGGACAAACAAAGCCTGCAAATGATCTGTAGCCCGATCTAGAATTATTTCGGGCTCAAAATTATGTTCACCAGATCCGGATTTGCTCAAAGAGCTCAAAAAACCACCTCTGAAGTTTTTCCCATGAGAAATGCCCGGCGGCCAAATTTTTAGCCTGGAACCAATTTTCAGATTTGTGATTTGAGGTGATTGGCAAAAATCGGGGGGGGTTTTTTTTTTTCCTGCACAGCCACATTACATAAATTACATCACTGTCATCATGATCTGTGTCAACCTCAAGATAGATAATGCTGTCCAGCTCCACAGTGTCAGGAATTTGTGTGTCTGAATAGTCACCCAGAGTGTCCGTTGGACTGGGACTGCAAGCAGGACTCTCTGATGAAGATGCCAGTCTATATTGATTCTTCAGACCAGAGATGTTTCTCTTGGCACGTTTAGCGGGTCGCCCACGATGGGTGGCCATGAGAGTAGAGGACAAGATGGAGTGTGATCAATTGGAAGCTCTGTGTGGGCATAAGAACGAGGGGTATTGTTGGAAACATCACCGAGATCAACCTGGTGACAGAACATGTGATCCAGAAGTGAATCTTTTTTTACGCAACAACCGCTCGATGAATCTTTTTAATTATTACAGATTCAAACTCACCTTGAAAATCCGCGTCGATTCCATATTTTTCCCACGCTTTTTAGCCGGTGGCCAAAATTTTGATGGTCTATCAACAATAAATGGCATTTTCCGGCACAACGGCTCGACAGAATTGCATGATTTATATACCGATGTGAAGCCCTCAATGAGATCTATCGATTGGTGTCTTCATCTCGGCAAAAAAAATCAATTTTCTTTTTGGTGGACTTTGTTTGTCTGCAACTGTAGACGGAACGCACCATTTTCAGATTTGCCAAATCAGACTCCAACGTTCGACTCTGTAATTCGAGTACTAGTGTTGGTGGACGATAATTAAAAATGAAGAAAGCGCAATTCATATCGCACAGTGTGAGTGATACTCAAGAGGATTGCGGCCAAGGCATACTGCCGAAAAAGGTTCCGCGTCGCCGCACCCAAGGCGTACTAGCTGAAGATTCACCGGCGGTATACTCGCTGTCCTGCCAAACCGGCAGAGTTCATACTCAGAAGATGAAGTGGATAGAGTTCAAGATCACATGAATTCAGAATTCCGATTTTGTGAGACGCAGACCAGAAAAGTTCCGCAGAACATTGTATGCCCCGGAAGGAAAACGACGCATCCTAGAGATTGTGCCGACCAAAAATCAGCCGATCCAGGAATCATATTGCGCGGGGAACAGGCGAGGATATATGAAGCGGAAACACTGCGTCCAGAATGCGGAGTAGAAGGAGCGACCGCAAAAAAGGTCGAAACAAAGTCGGTCCACGCACCGCGGCCCGTATAAAAGGAGAGCGGTTCCTGGACTTGTGATCCACAGGAAGGTCAAATAGGAAACAAGAGACGGAAACGGAAACCAGGACGAGTGCACCGTTCGCACCAAGACACAATGCGGGCGAACCCGTAGTGCGCCTCCAAAATAGGCCGACGACCACAAGGGGAAAAAGAGAGGAGGCCGAAGGTGAGAAAGGGGGGTCGTGTATGCCTGCGTCAAAGACGAAGAAAAGGACAGAGGGTAGGGTGGGCGACGAAAGATGCGCATGGGCACCGCGAGATACGCGCAAGACGTCGCAGAGTGCCAGCGCATGCGCACTAGGTGGTGCTAGTGCAAAACGTGGGGGGGGTCACCAATCCCCAAAGAGAGGCGGAGAGCCTTCACGCCGCAGGGAGAAATGTCGCGGCAGGAGGGCCATGAAAGGCAACACAAGAGAAGAGAAAAGACGAGGAAAGAGTACAGAGGGGACGGAATGAGGAAAAGGAAGAAAGGGGGAACAGGCAGACGAGGGTATGCCAAAAGGAAGGAAGGAAAGGGCGGAAAGACGAGAAGGAGGGAGGATAGAAGAAAGAAGGGGGAATAGAAAACCACTCACCTGCCTCTTTCGCGCGCCATCGCTCATACTACGCCCAGCTCAACAACCGCCGCACCTCCCTCCCACCCTCGATCCGGCGCACAACCCCCGACAGCCCCCACCGCAAACACATCCGTAGCTCGTGCGCCCCCGTGAACCGCACCTCCTCTGCCCACCATGTCTCTGCTTGCTGGCTGCCGTTGCGTGAGGAGGAGTTGGAGTCCCGGCAGGTGGCGAGGAAGGCGTGCACGAGGCATGCAACGGCCGGAAGGCGGACGTCCAATGCGAGGGCGAAGAAGACGAGGGGCGTAGCGATGCCCGAGCGCTCGAGCTCTGCGCACACGCGGGATCAGGCGCGGGATCAGGCGCCCGGCATCCGGCAATCCCAGCACGGCGTCCCGCGTGGGCGAGAGGAGCTAGTCCTCCTTGTCATAATGCTTGACCTGGTACTACAGCGTTGGTGGCAGCGGTACTACCCGAAGCAGCAAATGGCACGTCGTTGTCCACGGGCAGCGTCGTGGAGAGGAATTCGACGGCGCCGTAGGACGAGTCGGCGGGCAGGCTGTGCGTGCGTGCATGAGGGCGAATCCATCGGATGAGGGGGTGGGGGAGTGGGGATTGCCAGGCATAGGTGCGGTGAGTGCTGTGGCGAGTTTTGGTTTGTGCTTGGACGACGTCGACGCTGTCCGCGCACGCGAGAAGAGCGACGGTATCCCAGCAGATTCCTAGTCCTTCTTCTCGTGAAATCTCTCAACTCCTTCCTCAAGTTTTTGAACGGCGTAAGTCGACCTGCGCCTCATGTTCTGCTCGCTGTCCGATGGCGGGGACAACGAGGACGGGCGGCGGGGATTCGGTGGACAGTGGAAGAAGAGTATTCCGTAATCGATCAAATCGGATGCGACCTTGTCATTTTGATGGCGGTGATCCCCGCCGCCTGTACCGTGCCACAATAATCTTGCTGATTCCATCGTTCACTCAGGGCTTGCAGCACAATTTGACGCGTCTTTTCAAACGCACAGATAGCGAGCAAATAGGGGCTTTCTGAATCCCATGTCTATTCATCGGGCCCACCACGGTCAGCTGATCATGATGCGTTCTCACTCGGTGCTAGACGGTGGCGAGCACTGCAGACAGATCTCTTGACAGCACCGGCTCATGCTAAGCGAGGTAGTGCGTCAGAGGTGTACTAATAATATTTCCTTCGTAGCATGTGAGACCGCGCCGCGATATGCTTCTATGGTGTTTCCCGTCCCATTCCCGCTCTAAGGATGCAGCGTCAATTTTGTCTTTCTTTTTCTATCTTCCACCTCAAATTTCACAGCTTCTCCCTGTCCGCCCACATGGTAAATTTACATTCACATCAATCACGTCGTGAATGAGAAGTTATTTTTGAGCAGAAGAATTTAAAATCAGAATATTATGATCTAGACTAGAGATATG